TTTTTTTTTTTTTTTTTTTTTTTTTTTTTTTGCCAGAAGACATTAGGATTGTGCCTGAAGGATGTGGACTGTGTGCGGTAAGTGTTTTTTTTCCTTCTTGCCACCATTTTAAGGCTAAGCAGCAGCAACCTGTTAGGTTTTCTAAAATCCCCTTCATGTTAAAGAAAGGAAATGTATCCCTCATTCATTTGTTGGTGGGATTTTTTTTTTTTTTTTTAAATATAGAAAGTGCCTGAGAACAGATTTTATTTTTTTTTTTCCTTTGGACTCGTGTCTAATTTGCTGTTTGAACATTTGTGACATAAGCTAAGATTGGGGGAGGTGAAACAGGCTATTGACAGGCTGTGGATATGCTGACACAGCACAAAGCCACGCAGCGCTGAGATACACAAGTGTGCTCTCAGCCAGATGGCTCGGGGAACGGAGGCACGAACTGCAGCAGGAGAGAGCTCCAGATGGACCAGGTTACCTTGCCCAGAGGTACCTGTTCCCGGCAAGCTCGGCTTGCCATCGTTACCACCATCGTGATGATTTTAAGGTGATTACACCTTAAAAAAAAATTTTTAAAATCTGTACAACTGGGGACACACAGATCAGAACCCAACTGGGAAATTCCTCCTGGCTGCGTGGTTTCCCCCTGCCTGGTTTCATGTTTAGATGACAAGCTTTTCATAATAAGAGCTTGTAGCAGTGATATGAGGAAATAACCGCTTTGCTGCTTTTTTTTTTTTTTTTAAACCCCACTAGTCCACATGCTGAGAGTGCGAACGAGTAGGATTTTATTTTGTTGATCAAATCAAAATGTTTTGCAGAAATGTATGAATTGCCCCTCATTTTTGCTGGAGAGTTTTCTTTTGAGAGGGTTTTGTTGTTCTGACCAGGTCAAAACACTTCATTTTGACTTCTCCGTTAGGGCGATGTTGGGGTGTTGGGGGAATGGATGAGCTTCAGCCCTGTCAAAAGTTCGTGCTTTGACCTTATCAAAGCGCTGGATTTTGATGAGGCTGTGCTGACCTTTGCAAAACCAAAAGAGACCCCCATCATCTATATTTTGGGCATTTGTATTTTGCGAGAAATTTCAAAATTAGAGAGGCTTTTTTGGTCTTTGTTCTTTTCCTCACTCCTGAGACAGAATTGCAAAATGTGAAATTTCCTTTTGAAATTAAAATCCTTTTTTTTTTTTTTTTTTTTTTTCCCAAACATTCCTTCAAAAGTTAAACACTTGGGGTCCTCATTCCCTCCCTGCGACCAGACTTTCTACTCTCCCATCTCACCTCTGATTTTTCTTGGCTTTTAGAAGCCAGGCGAAGAAATCTTTGGCTTCCTCAGTGCCCAGGTCCAATCTCTGACCGTTCCCCGCTGATACTTGGGGCTCAGCTTCCCGCTTGTACGGCTCGATAATGTTGCTGGAAAGGCAAAATGGGAAGCTATCAGCCCAAGATGCCACAAGAGGGTGCCAAAATGCTTCTTTTCCACAAAAACCCAGCTCCCTCCCACTCCCTCTCCCAGCCAGAGAAGGCGGCGGTCTTGGACAGGGAGAGGGATGGTTGTGCTGTGTGCCGACAGACCAGAAACATTTCTAAGACTTAGAAAAATAAAAGAAAAAAAGAAAACCAACTCCCTAGAGAATCACTGCTGCAATCCAAGAAAAATATCCTCGGCTCTACATTCTTCTGTAGCCATCAGTTGGCTGACGACAGCTGTGAGTTTGGATCGTAGGAGCTTTGAAAGTCTACACACACTTACTCGCTTTTCTTCTCCCGTCTGGCTAGCAACCATTCCACAAAGTTCTTCTTCAGCATGCTGTCCATCGTGCGGCTGTAATCGCTTGCCAGGGTGGCCTCAGAGTAGCGTCTTTGCACTGGTCTGGCACTGGGAGTCCTTGTACTTACGCTGGGGTAGGAGCACAGAGACAGGAGTGAGTCCTGCACGGAGCGGGAGCACACGTGGGGCAAGTTTCGCTTGGGCTGCACGTGGTGGCCCTGGCGGTTCCTCGCCAGCAAGGTTTTGTGATCCCTTTTAATGGTGCAGGTGACAATTCCTGGGCTGTAACAGTAAGGAGATGGCTGGGGAAGGGGCTAACATGCTCCTCAGCCAGTTCACCTGCTCCTGACAATTGCAGCTCAAGACTGGAGAATTTGGAAGGAGATGAGCTCAGGATAGTTGCCGATAGTCTGGAGTCAGCATGGTTTTCCCTGCCGTAGCCTGACTGACAGAATCAGTTAGGTTGGAAAGGACCTCGAAGATCATCCAGTCCAACCGTTCACCCAGCACTGACAGTTCCCAACCCCAGCATCCCCCATATTCACGTGGACTTCGGCTCCGAGCTAAGGCACCAGGCATGCTCAGGCTCCCTCCTCCAGTGCGCCGCACACCTATGGACAGGGAATCCACCTCTTGAGTCCTCGAGAGGCTCAGGGTGAGCGGCAGGAGGAAGGGCTGACCCCGAGACCAGTGGTCTGACAGTGGAGACATAGTTGGTGGCTACTTAAGTTAGCAAAGGATTTCAAAGCTGATCCTTTTTTAGTCCTGCAAGCTGGGATCGCAGCAACTCCTATTGCTCTAATAAGGATTGTTTTGGATCTTCTCGGGTAGTAGCTGGAAATTTTGGAGCAGGAGTCAGGGAAAGAGAGGGAAAGTCTTTATTATACACCTACTTTATGTAACTGGTCATATTTTCAGAGGCTTCCAAATACTGGATGCCCCCTAACCTCATTCATGTGGGATGATTACATCTTGTTTCTAGTTCACAGCCAACCTTCTTCTCTTCCTGGTTTACTTCCAGCTTGTTCCTCCTAACCCAGAGCTATGAATTTGTAGGGAAAACTTGGGAGTTCCTGGCTCCATCTCAAAGGCTCAGGGCTTTATTTTGATATCTCTCTTATCATTCCCTCATCTCTGTACACTTGGCTGTCTCTATTATCTGAGATCTACCTCAGGACTCATGTTCTCACCTACTTACCAAGTTGCCAGTGGAAAAAATCCATTTGCCTCCAGTGGGGAGCTGGAAAAGGCTCAAAACACACCGTGAGCTTTCCAAAACACTTACCCCGAGATGTTTTCTTCCATCAAAACAAACCCCAGAGAAGCGAGGAGCAGAGAGAGAACTTTGAAAGACATCATTTTCTTGGCTGGTTTCTCTGTTCCAAAGCAGATGTCCAGCCCCTGTAACACATGGGACACATAAGGGGCAGGACAGCGAGCCCAGAGGCATGTGCGGCGGTGGTTGGGCACGTGCCTGTGCTTGTAAATGTGCTCCTTCAGTCCTTGTGCTTCGAGCAGCCTTCTCCATCCTACAAAGCCCTCTTCTGCCGCTCCCAGTTAAATTACTTTTTCAATGCCAACGCTCTTTCCCCACTGTGGTGTCTTTTAATGTTGGTTCCTTATACTTTTATTGTAACCATCAAATTCATTGTGGGTTGCACATTCCTGGAGGCAGGGGCTTTGTCTTCCTCCATGTTTACAAGCTGACCCTGTGGGTACCTCATTGTGCTTTAAGGGTCGATTCAATCTTGAGTATGTGAACGGGAACGTACGTTGGATCAGGCAATTCAGTAGCAATGGCATCCTGCTTATCCCACACTGTGGTTCTGCAGGATTTAGGAGCCTGATCTAATTTCTGGGAGATTTTCTGTCGGGATAGATAATGCCTTACGTAGGGACTGGAGCCAGTCAGCGAATATCAGTTATGAAAAATATCCCATGGACAGTGACAGGATCAAATTCCAAGATTTATTAGTTTCAAGCTGTTCCTAGTCCTCACATCCACAGTTCAGCTCAGTAGTCCTTGGACATTTGAGCTCTTTTAATTACTATTCCAGCTCTGCAAACTCTGTACAAAAATGGTTTTGATCATGGCTCCCAGATATATTTTGTTGTCCCTCACTCTGTTATTCTTATTTCTGGAAACTCCATTGCAATGGAGAGCTGCTGTCAACAGGAATAACACAGTTACAAAAAGATCAGGATTCTAATATCCCATCCTTCAAAAATTTATTCACACATTGATAGAACTTTACTCCTCTAAGTAGTTATTTGTACTCTTACAACAGCCCAATTATTGTTTTGGAGAGAGCAAGAATCTGCAAGTTTGGGTGTTGTTTGTAATTGGGGCGTTTTTTTCCTCTGGAAAATTGTGACATCTTTTACAAATGTTTTCAGCCCTTCCTATTAAGTGAGAAAAAAAAAACAAACCAAAACCAACCTAAATGTATTGCATTATCTCAGATTTTTCAAGTGCTGAGGAATGCTCTTAAAAGCAAAGGTATAATATTCTGAACACTGGCAAAATCCCTAAAATACTTAGGCTGAAAGCAATAAAAGACAAATAGTTACAGAGTGTTAACAGCAGAAGTAAATTCCATTATACAAAAAGCTGAGGAGTATTTCAAGTGAGAAAAGAAAAAAAAAAAAAGTCATGATCAAGTAACTGAGGTTTTCCCTCTTATTTGCTTTTAATTTCATGTATTGGTGGTATAACTGTGGGTGTGATGATGGGTCTGAAAACAGATAAGTTGTGCAAGAATATTGTTCTGCTTCGGATAATTATTTACGATGCTGGGAGAGGAAATGCCTTGTAGCCTTAATTTTAAGAAAGGGCAGCAACTTCCCCGCAGAATTTACCCAAACAGGGAGGAAAAGCAATCCACGCTTTCAGAGACTCTTGAAAAACCATTCTGAATTAATACAAGACGCCTTTGCCCGTGTGACACTGAACTGGAGTAGCTGAGCTCTCCCAGCCCAGTCCGGCACAGGGTTTGCTGCGATACCTCCGCTGTTTTGATCCAGTAACTTGACTTCTTCACAAAAGGAGGAACAACTGGTGGGATCTTTGCAACACGAAGGTCTGCCAGTCCCCTGTGCAATACCATCTCCTTTAGAAGAAGCATTATCCCTATTTTATCCACAGTTGGGAGGTCCCCAAAAAGCAGCTAAAAACCAATTTCTCCTCTTTTCCCTGGGTAGGTGCAGATCCCAACCTGATATTTGCCACATAGTGAATCCTCCTCTGAAATAACAGTCTTTCCCTTTACAGCCTGACACATACCTGCTGCAGGTCTTTTTTTTTTTTTTTTTTTCCAAATCTACCAAGAGAACAGCCAGTCTTGTACTACTTTGGGGAAAACTCAGCCAAAGTTCCAGGCTGTTTCTGCTCTGCTACAGCTACAGCCCGACGCTCTCAAACACTATTCACTCCCACTATCTTGGGGGGGGAAAAAAAAAAAAAAGTTAAAAAGAGAGACTGACATAGAGCTTCTTACCTTTCTCCTCTGAAGCTGCCTGGAGGATTTCAGCTACTTCTGGTGCTGATGAGACCCCTCAGGGCTTTTATATACATTAGCTGGGCAGGACCAAACCCACTTCCATGAAGTAAACAGGAAATCAAGCACCTAATCAAAGCAATTCAAACCCACTTAGAGCTGCTTCATTAGGTCTATTGACCTATAGAGAAGGAAAATAACCTTTTAAAATATGTTTACATTAATGGCAATTAAACATTACTGTATCACCAAATCAAGAATGCAAATGGATTGTGGGTGTAAAGCACACGACATTGGTCTAAATTTAAATTACACGTCGCATTGCCTCCCGTGATAAAAACCTCCTTAATTTCCATCCTTTGTCAAACGTAAATGTTATTTTTGAGAGATCCAATCTGCTCCTTCTCTTTCTTCCAGGAGGAATAACTTTGCTAAAATCAATGACTCTCGTCATTGTTAGTCACCATCAAGTCAGGGTATCCCAGCTGCAGTCTGCAACCCCTTGTGCAAACCCCAAATTGGAAACCAGCATCTATCCCCCAAAACGGGCATTCTAAGAGGAGAAAACTTGGGATAGAAAGGGGCGGACAGGAAACTAGTAGGAAATGGTGAGGCAGCACTGGTTAACGAGGTGGAGGTTGGTGGCACAGCAGTTGCCTATGAGGGGTGAGGGGAAGCAGCTGGACCCGAGCACCCATTTGGGCTCTTTCTGTCCTTAGTGAGTGATGGAGTGTTTCCCTGTGGCTCTGCAGCTGCTGGGGACATGGGTCAGTGAGGCCACCACCTTGCCCTGCCCTTGCACAGCTGGATCCAGGAGAGCAGATGTTCTGCAGATGTTAATCACGCCACCGGAGTACAAGAGGTAAATCCACTTCCCACCAGCTCTGCTGCGCCTGGTAAGATGTTTTACCCGGTGTCTGACCTGTCCTGCTTCCCCTGGGTTTCTCTGGGGGAACCAAACCCATCACTTTTTAACACGTAAATCCTGTTTAGGGACTGCTACCAGGTGCATGCCTGCTCTAGGTACACCCCGTCACACCCAGCTTCAATGTGTTGAAGGAGCAGAGCTGGATGATGTTTGAACCAGCCTAACCCAGGAGCTGAGCTCCGCTCACATCAGCACCAAAGCCAAGCAGTGCCCGTGGCTGTGCTGGCTTGCTGAGCCCAGTCCCGTCCGCAGCTCGATTTCCCTGAGTTGCCTGAACTTTTGCAGGAGGTTATCCAAGTTACAACCATCCCCTCAGGTCTGCCAGCCTTTTTCTTTTTTTTTTTTTAATTTTATTTTATTTATTTTCTGTGGAGTTCAGCTGAGCCGCTCGGAGCAGGAACCCCGCACACCTAGACGGAGGAGGGATGTGCGTATATGCGTGTATCCTCCCCAGGTTTGTGCTGGCTCAGCGACATCAGGGGTTTGTGTGGGAAAGAAGTGAGATTTCTGGTTGATAGGGCTGAGCAAGAAACAGCCCTTAGTGGAATTGCAGTAATAATGGCAAAACCGAAGTGTCGGTGGTTTTGGCGTGGGAGAGGGTTTTGCTGTACTGGCGCTGTGCCCCTGCTGTATCTTGTCCCAAACACGTGCAAGAAATCCAGCGTGGTGAGGTACGTGTCTCCACGCAAAAGCTACCCACTCTGCGGTTCCTTTCTGAAAAAGTCTTTTTTCTACTCTTCTCAGAAAGTGCTGCGGGGACAGAGCGTCAGACAACAGGCTGGTTTTAACCGTTCCCCATATTCCTGCCCCAGGAGACCGTAGGGCGCGGAATGAACCGTGTCCAGCTTAGCCCGGCGCTGGCTGAGCTCAGCTCTTGCTGCTCTGCAGCTACACAACTCCCTGGCACAACCAGCCTCCCCAGCAAAAAGTGTTGCCTCTATATGGCATTAAGATAAAGGCTCAGAAGGACATTATTAACGTCGATTAAGAGTTCAGTGCTATTAGGGAGCAATTACTACGTTCACAGGAACTACTTAGCACGTGGCTTAGTCCTTTCTCTAGCAGCACACAAGCATGCCAGGGTCTCCCAAAGCTTTTCACCCATGCAGGAGCATCGTGCCTGCTGTAATAAATGATGCACTATAATAGTTACAAGTGACCAATTTACACTCCTAGCACAGTTGCTAATCAATAAAACGGAATAGTTTATCCTGGTGTCATTATTATATGTATTCTGGGTCCTTCACTCCCAGCCAACTCGGATATCTTGTTTCTCCAAAGTGCAACCTATTTGTTTTCCTCTCATTAAGTGCCTCTGTAGGATATAAAGTTAATAGAGTGAAATAAATATCCAGCAACATTAAATGTTGACCCAGGGTTCACAGTTACGGTTATTTCAGGGCATCTGCTCGTGATGCAGTTCGGACAGCAGCATCCCTCTAGAATTTCTCACAATCAAACAAACAAAAAAACAAACCAACCCAACCCAGATGTGCAGAAGTTGTTTCCAAAGACGGGAGGACACTGTCTGCGTTTTCTTCTCTCTGTGATATCCGCTAACCGCTGCCTAAAATGCTGAACCTCTTGATGCCAGTTCAGGTCTGGGAGGTGCAGAGGTGACGACTGAAGTGCTGACCTAGAGAAGGGCCACATGCCCACGTCTGCTTCTTCCAGGGTAACGGGGGGGTCTCTAATTAACGACGCAAACTTTGCTCTTCTCTAACCTCAGCCCATCACAGCCGCAGCAGCGCTGCCCTTGCAGCATTATCTGTGTCCCGCTGCCTCCGCTGATAACACAAGTCGTTTCACAAGCTGGCTCCCAGCTTCGGACTGAGGACAACTTTAGGTTTCACCCAGCTGTGGCATTTGTCTCCCCACAAATTCAACAGGAGAGCTGGGGCTGCCCTGCTTCCTCCTCCCCTGCCAGGCAG